TACCTACCTCTCTCTCTCTCTCTCTCTACCTACCTCTCTCTCTTTCTACCTCTCTCTCCTATTCTCTTCTCTATTCTCATCTGTTTTCACCCTATTTTCATTTCATTCTTTCTCTAGTTTTTCTATTCTCTTCTTTCTCTTCTATCTACTTTATCGTCTCTCTACTTTCTCTTTTCTCTCTCTCTCCTTTCTCTCTTCTCTACAGTGAGACGAGCGTCGTCGCAAAATCCCGAACCTTTCCTAGTTTCCCCTATGTGATATTTTAGTAAGGGGCTCCACGACAGTGCGGCATACTCTAAAACTTGCTAATACACAACACTACTCCAAACACAATTTCGCACATTACTCTAAAAAGTTCTAAGATCTAAATCTTAGAATCTTAGAATCTAAAAAAGATTGAATCAACGTTACTATTGGTTCAATTACGCGTCTCATGATGGGTAAAGATCACGTCGCCACTGTTTGTCAACAAGTATTTCCTAAGACCTTCATGCAAGATCGGGGTTCAATCCCCGACCGTCCACAAGTGGTTGGCCACTATTCCTTTCCCCACCCCCGCCGTCCTACCCCCCCCCCCAAATCCTTATATCCTGATCCCTTCCAAGTGCGATATAGTTGTAATTATTGACGAATTTTCGAAATTGACGAGTTTGGCGATTTAATATCTTTGTTTAATGTCCTTATCTCCTCCTTTTGTCTTAGTCCAAAACTGTGAGCTTTTCGCTGTTGTGTGTCGGGAATACAGCAATACAACAGCTGCAGATTTTTGTTTAGAATTTATCCAAGTATTAAGTATACATTAAAAAAATGTTTACTTAATACATTATGTTTATGTATACTTAATGTTTTCATGCTAAGAAGGTAAAGCTTCTTGGTGCATATACTGTACGTCGCGAGCTTCAAAATTGAATAGATGGTCTTTATTACTAATTACCAATTATTAATTAATAATTAATGGATGATCCTTAGTAGTCAAATTCTTCATGGGTTTTAAGCTTGGATGTTCCCCTGTGAGAGGGGGGGGGGGAGGAATGGGTGATCTACATCATAGGATGAATGGGTCCCCCCCCCTTGTGTGGGGAGAGACATGGGTGTTCTAGAGCAAGGGGGAGGAGGGGGATAGGTGTTCCCTAGCTTGGGGAACACGAGAAGCGGGACCAAAGAGCCAAAGCTCAACCCCCGCAAGCACAAGATGAATACAACTTGGTGAGTACACTCACATACGCACACACATACCCTTACACATTCATATGCACATCCACCGACTTCGGAATTCCAGGCCCCCGGAAACGAGGCTCACGAATCGCTACATTCCCACACGCCTGGACATTTTCCCACACCATTCCCGACACTCTCACGCCCTCTCACTCACTCACTCTTCCAGTCACGCTCTCACAAGCACATTACCCGCTAGTCGCACCCTGCCATCAGTCACCCACTGGTTCATTGGTGTGTACACGTGTACAATAACACAGGACATTTCGCACACACAGACACGCTCTCACACACACACACACACACACACACACACACACACACACACACACACACACACACAGTCATAGAAGAACTCTCTATTTGAAGTTTCCGGAAACTCTCAAGCAACTAAGAGATCGGAAGTCATAAAACTACCCTGGTATCAGGCGAGGCCGGCACCAAGAGCTGAAGCTCGGTACTATTAAACTAGTAAGTAAGCGTTATTAAATCAGACCGCAAATGCTGCTGTTGCTAGTCTCTGTTGGTGGCCTCTGTTGCAAAACTGACCAGTTGAGATTTGGGCTTCTGTTGACTTTAGTCCTGTTGACTGCCTGCCGCTGCTGTTACTCCTGTTTTGACTGGCGTTGCTCCTGTTTGTTTCTACGGCGGATAAGGAACAGCTCACTTAAAGTATTTAAGTGAGCTTTAAGGCCCAATCTAGCATTATTACCCTTTCCTTCCTTCCCTCCCTTCCTCCTTCCCTTCCTCCTTCCCTTCCGCTCTTCCTTGATCACTGGACAACCCCCCCACCCCCCTTCCCATGCCAAGACATGATAATGGTATCTTCAAGGCTGGACAAGAGGGCGAGAGGGGAGTGCTTCTCTTCCTCCTGCTAACGCCAACATGGCTTGCAATTACTTGATAAGAATCCGGTAACTATTTTCAGATTAAGCATCCGCATATTTGAAAATCTCGTGTATCCGTATATCTGGTCATTCTAGGCATTCGTATATGTGATTATTTTATGCACAAGGGAATGATTTTTTTATTATGATAAGAATTTTAGATTACTTATTAAAAAATCCGAATATTACTTTCAGCTGCTGTAAGGCTTTAGATATTACTTTGAGGTTATGGTAACCATCCGGACTGAGAACGGATGGTATTGACCATACCGATGGATAACCATAATTATTACCTAACCTATAATAGGTATAGGTTAAGTAATAATTGTAATTACGAAGCAATAAGATGCTTATCTTAAGATACTAACAAGGTTAGGTAAGGTCGGTGTTTTCTATGAATCTTTTTAAGGGTATCTATTATGTTTAGTAAATCACCTATGCACGTAGTTAATAAGTCAATATTGACTTTACGAATTTGCGAGAACGGGTTGAGCCATAAGATATCCACCCATTTCCCATCCGTGTGTATCCTCAGATACGTTATCCTCAAATACGTTCTTCACCTCTGAAGAAACTTACAACAATCGAGGATATATTAGAGAACTAACCAGAGGACTCGCTAAGAGTTGTGGGTTGATCAACTTTTGTACCATCGTGGGTTAAGGCAGGCTTCTGGGAAACACCAGGCTGGGGCCAGATTCACGAAGCAGTTACGTAAGCTCTTACGAACCTGTACATCTTTTCTCACACTTTGGCGGCTTTGTTACCAATTGTTAAACAGTTAATGAGCTCCGAAGCACCAGGAGGCTGTTTATAACAATAACAACAGTTGATTGGGAAGTTTTCATGTTTGTAAACTGTTTAATAAATGTAACCAAAGCCGTCAAAGATTGAGGAAAGATGTACACGATCGTAAGTGCTTTCGTGAATCTGACCCCTCCATTGCCTCCAAATTATTATCAAACTACAACAATGCCGTAGTGATCCCCGACCGTCCACAAGTGGTTGGGCACCATCCCTCCCCCCCCCCCGTCCCATCCCAAATCTTTATCCTGACTCCTTTCCAGTGCTATATAGTCGTAATGGCTTGGTGCTTTCCCCCTGATAATTCCCCTGCTGTAGGGCTTGAATGAGGGGGAGGGGAAAGACCCAATATACTTGTGTAGGTGTATTAAAATACAACGTTTTCAGGATGTAACCTCCATCCTTTCTCAAGGTGTGTATACAATGTACTGAAAAGGATTTCAGGAATTTATGTTTTATATATAAACGCTTATAATTTTTGTTGAGAACATTGTATACAGATGTACACCTTCAGCGAGCAGGTGAAAGGCAGACATGATAGCCGGACACACAGACCAGATAGCCAGCCACACAGACCACATAGCCAGATACACAAACCAGATAGCCAGACTCACAGACACGATACCTAGACACACAGACATGATAGCCAACCACACAGACATGACAGCCAGCTACACAGACATGATAGCCAGACACAAAGACCAGATAGCCAGTCACACAGACATGACAGCCAGCTACACAGACACGACAGCCAGCTACACAGACATGACAGCCAGACACACAGACACGATACCCAGACACACAGACATGATAGCCACCCACACAGACATGATAGCCAACCACACAGACATGACAGCCAGCTACACAGACATGATAGCCAGACACACAGACATGATAGCCAGTCACACAGACATGATAGCCAGACACACAGACATGACAGCCAGCTACACAGACATGATAGCCAGACACACAGACCAGATAGCCAGTCACACAGACATGATAGCCAGACACACAGGCATGACAGCCAGCTACACAGACATGATAGCCAGACACACAGACCAGATAGCCAGTCACACAGACATGATAGCCAGCCACACAGACATGATAGCCAGTCACACAGACCAGATAGCCAGCCACACAGACATGATAGCCAGCCACACAGACATGATAGCCAGTCACACAGACATGATAGCCAGACACACAGACCAGATAGCCAGCCATACAGACATGATAACCAGACAGGCGAGATGAGACAACAGATCACCTATACAGACATTACACAACTAGGGAACACGTAATCAAACAAGCCAGAGTTGGCTGGAATCGACATTTATAAAGTCTGATCACCAGACTAGGTAACGTTAATTACCCTGGGGTATAACTACCCTGGGGTATAACTACCCTGGGGTATAACTGCCGTGGGGTATATTAACCGCAGCGTTTAAATAATGTGGGGTTATAATTACTGTGAGATATAATTACCGTGGGGGTTTAATTACCGTGGATTATAATTACCGTAGGGTATAATTACCATGAAGTTTAATCTACCATGGGGGGGTTTAATCTACAATAAAGTTGTCTGGTTAATTTGACGGTAAATTATCACTTGACAAGCGCTTAGTAACACTTATTCCTGCGTCGACCTACTCAAGTAAATAATAATAATTATTATTATTATTATTATTATGTTGATAAAGTGACTCGCGGCAAATAGTCTCGCTTAAGATAGGATATTAATTGTTTGGTTAAATTAGGCAGAAACAGAAACACTCAATTATGAAGCTGTACGAACCTCGCCCTCAACACTGTCCGAACCGCTTGGGCTGGACGGTAGAGCGACGGTCTCTCGATCTTTCATGCAGGTCGGCGTTCAATCCCCGACTATCCAAGTAGATGGGCACCATTTCTTGCCCCCCCCCCTCCTCCCATCGTCCCATCCCAAAATCCCTGTCCTCATCCCTTTCAATTGCTGTATAGTCGTAATGGCTTAGCGCTTTCTCCTGATATTTGCCTTAACTCTGCATCAATGCGATCGTTTGTAACGCTGTTACTGTGACAGTCCATTAAAGCGTGACAAGGGTATTGCGTCACGCTATGTTACGGGTCAGAGTTACGGCTGCCAGTGAGTTCACGCTGTATGTCTCGCTACATCTCAACTGGTGTACAGATCCCTGAGCCTACTGGGCTCTATCATATCTACACTTGAAACTGTGTATGGAGTCAGCCTCCACCACATCACTGCCAAATGCATTCCACTTGTTATCTTGAGGTTATCTTGAGATGATTCGGGGCTTTAGTCTCCCCGCGGCCCGGTCCTCGACCAGGCCTCCATCCCCAGGAAGCAGCCCGTGACAGCTAACACTCAGGTACCTATTTACTGCTAAGTAACAGGGGCATATTGTGAAAGAAACTCTGCCCATTGTTTCTCGCCGGCGCCTGGGATCGAACCCAGGACCACAGGATCACAAGTCCAGCGTGCTGTCCGCTCGGCCGACCGGCTGTTAACTACTCTGACACTGAAAAAGTTCTTTCTAACGTCCCTGTGGCTCATTTGGGTACTCAGTCTCCACCTGTGTCCCCTTGTTCGTGACCCACCCGTGTTAAACAGTTTATCTTTATCTAACGACAGACGTCCCCGAGGGCTGCCACCTGTACCAGCTGCCTTGTTCCCAGGTACAACACAGGTACCTCCAGGTGAACAGGAGAGAAATTATCAGGTAAAATGCTCACACGCTAAAATATCTCGATCGTACCCCGGGAATCGAACTCTGGTGGACCTTTAGATTTGGAGACCGGCTGAGCTACGGGACTTAGTTATTCAGAACAAGAATTCTAGATGTTCTTTAGTTATCTTTATAGTTATGTCCTTATGTGATTTTCGTTAGTAGGCTCTAACAAACAGGCTCTAACTAACGAAGCTCTATTCGATCCTTTAATAAAAATTACTTAATGTACTTTGTATATAAATAATTAGACTAGAACAAATATTTAACTCAGGAATATCTATGGAATCTTCCGTCTGATATTTTGTCTAAATTTGATATTTTAAAGTTTTTTTCTAAAGTGGAAGTTGGCAAACAATATTATTATATTTAAATCAGAAATAGTTTTACATGAGCTGGCACGCTGGTGGTCTCCCTCCTGTCCGCCTAACACCAAAACCAATTATCGTAGTTCCTTTATTATGCGCCCTATACCCATCCTGTGAGCGGTAGTGGGTCCTATACCCATCTTGTGGGCGGTAGTGGACCCTATACCCATCCTGTGGGCGGTAGTGGGGCCTATACCCATCCTGTGAGCGGTAGTGGACCCTATACTCATCTTGTGAGCGGTAATAGACCCTACACCCATCCTGTGGGCGGTAGTGGACCCTATACTCATCCTGTGAGCGGTAATAGACCCTACACCCATCCTGTGGGCGGTAGTGGACCCTATACTCATCCTGTGGGCGGTAGTGGACCCTATACTCATCCTGTGAGCGGTAATAGACCCTACACCCATCCTGTGGGCGGTAATGGACCCTATACTCATCCTGTGAGCGGTAATAGACCCTACACCCATCCTGTGGGCGGTAGTGGACCCTATACTCATCCTGTGGGCGGTAGTGGACCCTATACCCATCTTGTGGGCGGTAGTGGGGCCTATACTCATCCTGTGGGCGGTAGTGGACCCTATACCCATCTTGTGGGCGGTAGTGGGGCCTATACCCATCTTGTGAGCGGTAGTGGGGCCTATACCCATCCTGTGAGCGGTAGTGGGTCCTATACCCATCTTGTGAGCGGTAGTGGACCCTATACCCATCTTGTGGGCGGTAGTGGGGCCTATACCCATCCTGTGGGCGGTAGTGGACCCTATACCCATCTTGTGAGCGGTAGTGGACCCTATACCCATCTTGTGGGCGGTAGTGGGGCCTATACCCATCTTGTGGGCGGTTGTGGGTCCTATACCCATCCTGTGAGCGGTAGTGGACCCTATACCCATCTTGTGGGCGGTAGTGGGGCCTATACCCATCTTGTGGGCGGTAGTGGACCCTATACCCATCTTGTGGGCGGTAGTGGGGCCTATACCCATCTTGTGGGCGGTAGTGGACCCTATACCCATCCTGTGGGCGGTAGTGGGGCCTATACCCATCTTGTGGGCGGTAGTGGGGCCTATACCCATCTTGTGGGCGGTAGTGGGGCCTATAGCCATCTTGTGGGCGGTAGTGGACCCTATACCCATCCTGTGGGCGGTAGTGGGGCCTATACCCATCTTGTGGGCGGTAGTGGACCCAATACCCATCTTGTGGGCAGTAGTGGGGCCTATACCCATCCTGTGGGCGGTAGTGGGGCCTATACCCATCTTGTGGGCGGTAGTGGGCCCTGTACCTATCCTGTGAGCGGTAGTGGACCCTATACCCATCTTGTGGGCGGTAGTGGGGCCTATACCTATCCTGTGAGCGGTAGCGGACCCTATACCCATCTTGTGGGCGGTAGTGGGGCCTATACCCATCTTGTGGGCGGTAGTGGACCCTATACTCATCCTGTGAGCGGTAATAGACCCTACACCCATCCTGTGGGCGGTAGTGGACCCTATACTCATCCTGTGGGCGGTAGTGGACCCTATACTCATCCTGTGGGCGGTAGTGGACCCTATACTCATCCTGTGGGCGGTAGTGGACCCTATACTCATCCTGTGGGCGGTAGTGGACCCTATACTCATCCTGTGGGCGGTAGTGGACCCTATACCCATCTTGTGAGCGATAGTGGGGCCTATACCCATCCTGTGAGCGATAGTGGGGCCTATACCCATCCTGTGAGCGATAGTGGGGTCTACACCCATCCTGTGAGCGATAGTGGTGTCTACACCCATCCTGTGAGCGATAGTGGGGCCTATACCCATCCTGTGAGCGATAGTGGGGCCTATACCCATCCTGTGAGCGATAGTGGGGCCTATACCCATCCTGTGAGCGATAGTGGGGCCTATACCCATCTTGTGAGCGTACAATACACTGAAGTTTAAGCAAACATTAATACTCATATAGGCAGACAGGTGAAATATTAAGCGTGATTAGGAGGTTCGATTGGGTATTGATTGGGAAAATATTATTATTACTATTAAGCATTACGCGAGCGTGAAGCTCAACCCGCTAAGTGTGAATTAGACAACACACGCGACTCCACAAGAGCCCACGCGACTCCACGAGAGCACACGCGACTCCACAAGAGGACACGCGACTCCACAAGAGGACACGCGACTCCACAAGAGCGCACGCGACTCCACAAGAGCGCACGCGACTCCACAAGAGCACACGCGACTCCACAAGAGCACACGCGACTCCACAAGAGCACACGCGACTCCACAAGAGCACACGCGACTCCACGAGAGCACACGCGACTCCACAAGAGGACACGCGACTCCCCAAGAGCCCACGCGACTCCACAAGAGCACACGCGACTCCACAAGAGCCCACGCGACTCCGCAAGAGCCCACGCGACTCCGCAAGAGCCCACGCGACTCCACAAGAGCCCACGCGACTCCACAAGAGCCCACGCGACTCCGCAAGAGCCCACGCGACTCCGCAAGAGCCCACGCGACTCCACAAGAGCCCACGCGACTCCGCAAGAGCCCACGCGACTCCACAAGAGCACACGCGACTCCGCAAGAGCACACGCGACTCCACGAGAGCGCACGCGACTCCACGAGAACACATGAATTTAATCTATTTAGAAATATTACCGAAAAGAATAGATGACAAATATATTTACAATATCCTGATTAAAAAAAAGTTCGATTGGCGTCCCGTTCCATATATTTTCCTGTAACGATAGATCTAGGTTATCTTGAGGTTATCTTAGATGATTTCGGGGCTTTAGTGTCCCCGCGGCCCGGTCCTCGACCAGGCCTCCACCCCCAGGAAGCAGCCCGTGACAGCTGACTAACACCCAGGTACCTATTTACTGCTAGGTAACAGGGGCATAGGGTGAAAGAAACTTTGCCCATTTGTTTCTGCCTCGTGCGGGAATCGAACCCGCGCCACAGAATTACGAGTCCTGCGCGCTATCCACCAGGCTACGAGGCCCCTTCAGCGATAGACCAGTCGCATTGTAACCAAAATCTCCATAAGCCTTCAGCTTCAGTCATCTCTCCTGCCCAACCACTTTGGGCTGGACGGTAGAGCGACGGTCTCGCTTCATGCAGGTCGGTGTTCAATCCCCGACCGTCCAAGTGGTTGGGGCACCATTCGTCTCCGCGTCCCATCCCTATTCCCTTATCCTGATCCCTTCCAAGTGCTATAGAGTCGTAATGGTTTGGCACTTTCTCCTGGTAGGCGAGGAGTCATAATAACGTGGCTAAAGTATGTTGACCAGACCACACACTAGAAGGTGAAGGGACGACGACGTTTCGGTCCGTCCTGGACCATTCTCAAGTCGATTGTGACTTGAGAATGGTTAGGTTATCTTGAGGTTATCTTGAGATGATTTCGGGGCTTTAGTGTCCCCGCGGCCCGGTCCTCGACCAGGCCTCCACCCCCAGGAAGCAGCCCGTGACAGCTGACTAACTCCCAGGTACCTATTTTACTGCTAGGTAACAGGGGCATTCCGGGTGAAAGAAACTTTGCCCATTTGTTTCTGCCTCGTGCGGAAATAGAACCCGCGCCACAGAATTACGAGTCCTGCGCGCTATCCACCAGTCTACGAGGCCCCCAGAATGGTCCAAAACGTCGTCGTCCCTTCACCTTCTAGTGTGGTCTGGTCAACTTTCTCCTGGTACTTCCCTTCCTCTTCCCGCCTTGAGAGTGCGGGAACAGGTTTGGAGAATTATTTCAAGCGAGAACTCTTCAAGGGATTTCAAGAGTAGTCTTTAAGGGATTTCAAGAGTAGTCTTTAAGGGATTTCAAGAGTAGTCTTTAAGGGATTTCAAGAGTAGTCTTTAAGGGATTTCAAGAGTAGTCTTTAAGGGATTTCGAGAGTAGTCTTTAAGGGATTTCGAGAGTAGTCTTTAAGGGATTTCGAGAGTAGTCTTTAAGGGATTTCGAGAGTAGTCTTTAAGGGATTTCGAGAGTAGTCTTTAAGGGATTTCGAGAGTAGTCTTTAAGGGATTTCGAGAGTAGTCTTTAAGGGATTTCGAGAGTAGTCTTTAAGGGATTTCGAGAGTAGTCTTTAAGGGATTTCGAGAGTAGTCTTTAAGGGATTTCGAGAGTAGTCTTTAAGGGATTTCGAGAGTAGTCTTTAAGGGATTTCGAGAGTAGTCTTTAAGGGATTTCGAGAGTAGTCTTTAAGGGATTTCGAGAGTAGTCTTTAAGGGATTTCGAGAGTAGTCTTTAAGGGATTTCGAGAGTAGTCTTTAAGGGATTTCAAGAGTAGTCTTTAAGGGATTTCAAGAGTAGTCTTTAAGGGATTTCAAGAGTAGTCTTTAAGGGATTTCAAGAGTAGTCTTTAAGGGATTTCAAGAGTAGTCTTTAAGGGATTTCAAGAGTAGTCTTTAAGGGATTTCAAGAGTAGTCTTTAAGGGATTTCAAGAGTAGTCTTTAAGGGATTTCAAGAGTAGTCTTTAAGGGATTTCAAGAGTAGTCTTTAAGGGATTTCAAGAGTAGTCTTTAAGGGATTTCAAGAGTAGTCTTTAAGGGATTTCAAGAGTAGTCTTTAAGGGATTTCAAGAGTAGTCTTTAAGGGATTTCAAGAGTAGTCTTTAAGGGATTTCAAGAGTAGTCTTTAAGGGATTTCAAGAGTAGTCTTTAAGGGATTTCAAGAGTAGTCTTTAAGGGATTTCAAGAGTAGTCTTTAAGGGATTTCAAGAGTAGTCTTTAAGGGATTTCAAGAGTAGTCTTTAAGGGATTTCAAGAGTAGTCGACCAATGGCGATAGTACTTCTGGTTTGGGAAAGTTCTCATTAGTCCAAAACATGGCATCATTTTCCTAGATGATAATATATATAAGAATGAATTGTCGTGTTTATTACACCTTAGGTCGTTCACGTTAATGTTTCTAGGTCTTTCACTTGGTGTTTAAGTTCAATGAAAAGGTCTGATTGCGCTTCGTTTATATCTAGTTAACTACCTTTTTGTTTTCATTAATTAGCTAGAACTGTGGAACAACTGTTGTCATTTCAAGCTTAAATATTGAAAAGTCCGGTTATATATATGTATATATATATATATATATATGTATATATATATATATATATATATATATATATATATATATATATATATATATATATATATATATAGACATGGTCGACGCGTATACCATCTTCAACGTTATTGGCCTCACGAGGCATTGTTTTATCTCACGATTACCTCATAATTACCTCAAGATTACTTGTTAATTACCTCGTCACCGGATAGTCTTAATCGCCGGTAACTTGTTGCGGTCTTATCTTCACTATTGACTTGTGAAGTACAATTTTTGGGTGATTGTATTTAAGAATATTATGACTGGGATTGTCAACAGCTCATTAAGGGAATTGGTCATTCTTCCTAGCACCTTGAGCCCTAAGCTGTTTATATTTGCTGTTTCCTTACGTAAGAAATGCTTTTGAAATGAAATGCAGCATATCCCTTAAGCTGGGGTATGCTGTTCGTCCTCTTTCTTGGAGGTAGTTAGGGATCGTAGCGGGTAGCCAGCTGGGACCAGTTTCAGGGGGCGCCTGGTAGTTCCTCCCCCCTTCCCCAGTTCTCAGCCCCTCCCCCTCTCAGTTCTCCCCCTCTCAGTTCTCCCCCTCTCAGCTCCCACCCTCCCAGCTCCCCTCTCAGTAAACTGTAATTTGATCTGCCTTTCCCTCGCGGCGTCTTCTTACGCCAGCCAGTTCGAGCCCCGCTCTGATTGGCAGGACGAGCAGAAAGCGATCACCATTACCAATCAACGTGAAATAAAAGCAGCTGTCGCTACAATACCTGTCGCTAATCACTGCATTCACAATTCCCAGCCACCACCACAATTCTCAACCACCACCACAACTCCCAACCACTGCCACCACAAACCAGGGCCCAGGGGCCCCACCAGCACCAGGAGGGACAAAACACCACTTTTTTGTACCAAAATCAATTTGCAAATATGATAATAGTGTTGGGTAATCACTACTAAAGTTATCATAATTGTTGGCTGCTTTCGTGTATGCTGTTATTTTCAGGAAAATGGAATTAAGACTTGTATAGGAATATGACCACAACGTAATCCAAAACTTATGCATAAAATATCTCTGATAATTAATCGTTACATATTTGAGAGCGCGACTGATACTCGCGGTTACCTTGAGGTTACCTTGAGGTGCTTCCGGGGCTTAGCGTCCCCGCGGCCCGGTCGTCGACCAGGCCTCCTGGTTGCCGGACTGATCAATCAGGCTGTTGGACGCGGCTGCTCGCAGCCTGACGTATGAGTCACAGCCTGGTTGATCAGGTATCCTTTGGAGGTGCTTATCCAGTTCTCTCTTGAACACTGTGAGGGGTCGGCCAGTTATGCCCCTTATGTGTAGTGGAAGCGTGTTGAACAGTCTCGGGCCTCTGATGTTGATAGTTCTCTCTTGAACACTGTGAGGGGTCGGCCAGTTATGTCCCTTATGTGTAGTGGAAGCGTGTTGAACAGTCTCGGACCTCTGATGTTGATAGTTCTCTCTTGAACACTGTGAGGGGTCGGCCAGTTATGTCCCTTATGTGTAGTGGAAGCGTGTTGAACAGTCTCGGGCCTCTGATGTTGATAGTTCTCTCTTGAACACTGTGAGGGGTCGGCCAGTTATGTCCCTTATGTGTAGTGGAAGCGTGTTGAACAGTCTCGGACCTCTGATGTTGATAGTTCTCTCTTGAACACTGTGAGGGGTCGGCCAGTTATGCCCCTTATGTGTAGTGGAAGCGTGTTGAACAGTCTCGGGCCTCTGATGTTGATAGTTCTCTCTTGAACACTGTGAGGGGTCGGCCAGTTATGCCCCTTATGTGTAGTGGAAGCGTGTTGAACAGTCTCGGGCCTCTGATGTTGATAGTTCTCTCTTGAACACTGTGAGGGGTCGGCCAGTTATGCCCCTTATGTGTAGTGGAAGCGTGTTGAACAGTCTCGGACCTCTGATGTTGATAGTTCTCTCTTGAACACTGTGAGGGGTCGGCCAGTTATGCCCCTTATGTGTAGTGGAAGCGTGTTGAACAGTCTCGGACCTCTGATGTTGATAGTTCTCTCTTGAACACTGTGAGGGGTCGGCCAGTTATGTCCCTTATGTGTAGTGGAAGCGTGTTGAACAGTCTCGGGCCTCTGATGTTGATAGTTCTCTCTTGAACACTGTGAGGGGTCGGCCAGTTATGCCCCTTATGTGTAGTGGAAGCGTGTTGAACAGTCTCGGGCCTCTGATGTTGATAGTTCTCTCTTGAACACTGTGAGGGGTCGGCCAGTTATGCCCCTTATGTGTAGTGGAAGCGTGTTGAACAGTCTCGGGCCTCTGATGTTGATAGTTCTCTCTTGAACACTGTGAGGGGTCGGCCAGTTATGTCCCTTATGTGTAGTGGAAGCGTGTTGAACAGTCTCGGGCCTCTGATGTTGATAGTTCTCTCTTGAACACTGTGAGGGGTCGGCCAGTTATGTCCCTTATGTGTAGTGGAAGCGTGTTGAACAGTCTCGGGCCTCTGATGTTGATAGTTCTCTCTTGAACACTGTGAGGGGTCGGCCAGTTATGTCCCTTATGTGTAGTGGAAGCGTGTTGAACAGTCTCGGGCCTCTGATGTTGATAGTT